CATACTCCAGCCTGATGAACTCCCTGGCCTATCAACCACCCCTCCGCGATGTCTGTCTGCTGAAAACTTCCCGAGGGTGCGATGGGCCCTATCAGCCAGGTTACTAATGAAGATACCAATACCAGACCCAGAATCAAACTCTGGAGTAAGCCACTAGTACCTGCCCTCCAGATGGACTTTGCTCCAATGATGGGAACCCTCTGTGCCCAAGTTTTCAGCCCGTCTCACTGCCCACACTCCACCACTGTCAATGGGAATGTTACGGGAGATGGTGCTGCAAGCCAAGTCAAGGTAAACATTATCCACCAACTCCTCCCTCGTCCAGCAAGCCAGTCAGTCAGAGAAGGCTGTCAAGGTTGGTCCGGCATGACTCATGAACAGACCCGCTTCACCACCTTCCCAGGGATGAGGAGGAGAGCTTGACCAGCCTGCAGTTCCTTGGATCCTCCCTCTTGCCAGGCATGAAGTGACAGTTGTTTGCTTCCAGTCCTCAGGGACCTCCCCCATCATCATGTCCTTTCAAAGGTAACAATGGCCTCGCACGGACAGTGGCCAGTTCCCTTAGCACTCATGGATACATCCCATCAGGTCACACTGTTTTATCTGTACACCCAGTGTGCCAGAGTATGCCTTGATTTGATCTTCCTCCACCAGACTTTGCCCCTGGTATCAGAAGCCTGGGAATCCTGAAGGCAAATCTTGCCGGTAAGGACCAAGGCAGAGAAGGCGCCGAGTATCCTGGCCTTTTCCTGGTCTCCTGTCACCAGGTGCCCTGCCACACAGCAGGTACACATTTTCCCTACTCCTCCCAGCAGCTGATGTACGTGTAAAGGCCCTCTTCAGAGGGATTCAACACCAGAGGGACTTTGGTTTTCCCAACCCCATCCCTGCACGCTTAGATAGCATCTTGTGTGTCCCCGCAAGCCACCTCTGCTTCCACTTTTTTCACGCTTCCTTCTTCTGTTCCAAGTTTTCTTCGGAGCTCCTTGCCCATCCATGCAGGCCTCCATCCACCTGTGCTTGACTTCCTGCACATAGGAATGGACCATTCTTGAGCATGAAGGAGGCAGCCTCTGAAGAGCTACCGGATCTCCTGAACCCCTCTTCTTTCCAGGGTCATCTCTGAGTGATTCTTCCAAGCAGATCCCTGAACAGGAAGTCTAGGGTTGCGATCCTGCTGTTTGCCTCATTCCCTCCTTGTTTCCAACCTTCACATCCCTGACCAGCTCTTGTTGGAAAGTCTGGAGTTCAGTGGAACACCTCCCTCTGCCAGTGCTGATCAGCTCTGTTAGGAAGTCATCATCACTTTGCGTCAGAAACCTCCGGGATTACTTGTGCCCTGCTGTGCTGCCCTTCCAGCGGATACCAAGATGATTAGAGTCTTCCACGAGGACCAGGGCCTGTATACACGAGGCTTCTTCCAATTGTCTGAAAAACGCTTCAACTGTCATTTGCTGGGCCTGGGATGTACTTCCCAAAAAGATGTTATGTAGATAAACATACAAAAAAAGGATTGTTGTAGGCAGACGCAGTCTCTCATGTGTTCCACTTGCGATTTTTTCTTTCTCTGGAATTTTGATTCTTCCTTGCTCTCTCCCCTTTATCTTCTCTCCTAGAGAGGGCCACTGCGTTGGTCTCATCAAGCTTTGATTACACATCACCACCTTAGACTTCTGCTGTGGGTGCTCTAGAGACACGCAGCAAACAGGTGAAATGGACAGCAAGGAGGACCCGACAGCAGCAGCAGGGAAGAGCCACCCCAGCCACGCTGTCAGGCTGCACTGCCAGTCAGCAACGGTCCCACGGTCCCCTGTTCCAGCAGCCTGGCAGGGTTTGGGAACGGACTGACCGCCCACCCACACATCCATGAATGCTCCCCACTGCTTGCCTCCACACCCCATAGATCCCCTGTGCCGCTGGAGAGGCAGACCCCGAAGGAGCCAGAGCTGTAACCGGGACGGTGCTGCCCACTGAGCCCCCCTCCAGCACAGCAGCACCGGCAGGGCCCAGGTGTATCTTGCTCCTTAGGGACATCCTCTGCGGAAGTGCACCTCTAACTGTGTTCACCTCTTCCCTGAGGACAAGGGAGTATTAGCTCCTTTGGCATTTTTAAGACTGGACTGAAGAAAACACACAATAGAAATGGTCATGAGGAAAATCCCATGCTTATGTTGTGCTGGTCCCAAGGAAAGAGCTTAGCTATGCTAGGGAAGTTTTTCCTACACTTCCTTCCAAGTTTGGATAAACCTTTTCCTAAAGAATCTAAACCCAAGCTGTAGTTTATAACACTAACGACAGGGTACTTGCTCTCCAGAGGAGCACAGCTGCCAAGGTCAACACAGAGGATATCCCCCTGGAAGAAAAACAAACACCAAACCCCCCAGAAACCCCCCATTCCTGCCCAGGATATTTTGTGTTAACGCAGACCATGTATGACTTCACTTTCTCAATCCCATCCGAGTGACACGTCTCCGTGTGCTCACCTCAGCCGAAACCAGACACCAAGGTCACCCAACTGGGATTTCAACCTGTGGTCTCAGCTCAGTGTAGGAATTGTTTTCTGGCTCAGGATCTGAATTCCTTCCGACATACCCAGGAATTTGCTTGGAAGTACAGCATTACCACCCCCACTTGTGTAAACAAAGGCAAGGACACAGGAAAATGGCTAACTCAAACCACCAGTATCCCAGTGAATGCTGGTGCAGGGTGTTCACAACAAAACACATTTTGTCCACTAAGATTCTAAAGCCAAAGCTTAAAGCTGACCCACAACCACCAGCTCCTTTCCACAACAGGAGAAGCCTGAAGAAATTAATAGTAAGAGGACCCCTTAGTAAAAGAAGAATCTCCACCTGCACGCTTAGCTGAGCTGAACCCCTGCAGCAACTCAGGCATGAGAGGTTAAGTGAAGCACCTCACGCTTTGCGCCACGGTATTGGCCCAGATTCCACGTGCCTGTCAATTCACCGTGGTGCACGACCATCCTGTGGCTCTCCGCAGTGCTCCAAACACCTGTCACCAGCCTAGCTCCTCTGTGCTTCTTCCCATTTTCACTGAAAAACTGGAAAGTGCTGAAGAACTTGCACATCCCACCTCTTTCTCACGTATTTGACAAAGGAGATGCAGAAGTGAAGCAGAGCTTTACTTCACAGTACGCCGAGATCAGCTTTTGAAAAGCCCACTTCTAATTAATACTTGGGGTGACATGACATAAAGGGTGACTCTCGGAGGAAACGCATCTGATGAAACCAGCCAGGCATTAAATTCACCAAGCACGGGAGCCTTTTCTCTCCGAGATGGACTGAACGTGACTCTTCACTAAAATTATTTATATCACACTATCGCTTAGGGGACCTATTTCAAAATCAGGACAATCCTGTACTAGACGCTGTACAGGCAAATAATTAAAGGACACCCTTATCCCTTGGCAACCTCTCACACTTGAGCTCTCGTTATCAGAAGTTACCCAAGCAGCGAGTGTCACTAGCACAAGAGTAAGATCACACAGTCAAATCGCAGGACCAGGAGACTGCAAGTCTCTCTCTAGCTCTTAAAGGTCTTTGTGCAACCTCTGTTATGCTGCTTTCCACTTAAAACACCCTCTGCCTCTCCCCAGACACCAGAACAAGGATCACTGGCACAGGGGACCGCGGAGCTGGCTTCAGAGCTGTCCGTACAGTTACCTTTTGTCAGAAGGTGCTCCAGACAAGCCGAGTGCCACCACCAGAAACCTGGTGTCAGAAGGAAGGGGAGATACCAGCACACCGCTCCATAGCATCAGTAAGTTATCATAACTTGGCATTTCCCAGTTGGCATTCTTTCCGTATTCCTGGTTTCCTACCTGTATCCAGTACTGTTCCTGCCAACTACAAGGTGCTTTGGTTGTCTGTCACACATGTAAATGTTAAAGTCATTTTCTGGCACCAGATCCACATCATGGAAAATGAAACAGTCCCAGTTCGCTTCTTTTAGGGCCTCTAGGTATCCTACATTCAGCAGTTTCGCTCGATTAAATTTGGTGCTGCCAGCCTGTGGAAGAGAATGGAAAGACAGCTCTGAAGAAGGCATCAAACCTTTGGAAGCAGAACTGCTCCTGGGCGTCCGTGCTAATCGCGTAGCGCACAATGGCGCGTGCGCATCACAGCCTTTACGGCAGTCGCCACGCGGAGAGCTGGCCCCAAACGTCAGGTACGGCATCAGAGCGGCCAGCGACGCCGAGGGTTTCTTCAGCCTCTCCTTGTCAGGAACACAGGCAGCCAGGGCCAGCGGAGCCTATGGTTATCCCGGCACCAAAAGTACACGTGCTGCACGATGCAGCGGCGCTGCTACCGCCCCAGAGTTCCCATCAGGCTACGTCACAGAAGAGGTATCAGCAAACAGTTTAGAAACTCCATGCAACTCTGTAAAAGGAAGGCTTATGGAAGTTTTTACAGACAAACCCAAAACATTAGTCCCACACCAATTGCTTTAGAGAGGTCAGAGCCCCTGCCACAGCTGGTTTGTGCTTGTCCACGCAGTTCAGAGGCCTGCAGTGCTTGAGGAGTTCCCTGTATTTCCTTCGGTCACGCAGTAGGTGGCAGAGTGGGAAATAAAAAGCAAGTCTCTTCATTTTTAACTCCTACCTATAACCTAATTCTTACGCTGCACAGGGCCTCCCCCTAGCAGGGAGTTTCATTTGGCTTTCACTGTTCCTGTTTGCTTTTGCTCTAAGTTAGTGCATCGTTGCTTCTCCAAAATAGCATTTTTCACCTCTGAAGTACACATACACACACACTCCCCGGCAGTTTTGTAAGCTCACCATGTCACCCCTCACTCTGCAGCAACAGATGGGCTTATCTTGCTATTTATTTTTCACT